GAGGGAAGGGGATGGGGTAAGGTTGAGGGGGATGAGGTGAGGGAAGGATTTGGGGTAAGGTTGAAGGGGCTGAGGTGAGAGACGGTGTTGGGGTAAGGTTGAGTTGATGAGCTGAGGGAAGCGGTTAGGGTAAGGTTGAGGGGGATGTGGTAAGGTTGAGGGGGATGAGGTGAGGGAAGGGGTTGGGGTAGGGTTGAGGGGGATGAGGTGAGGTAATGGAGCAAGTTTGAGGCGGGTTCAATGAGGGAAGGGGGTGAGAGTGGGTGCACTGATGTGAGGGAGGGAGCTTTGCAAGCTGCGAGTGTGGCCGGTGCAGTGATCCTCACTGTCTGTCTGTCTGTCTGTCTCCTCTTTGTCCAGGATGGTGAGGTTTCCCGGCCTCTCGAACTCGGTGCTCCTCAGGACCCCTGCAGCCTGCCTGCCCCACTCATTCCCCTGCCCTCGGAAGAGGGTCGGACCCCGGGATGTTTTTCCAGCCAATCACTAGAGTGCAGGCGATCTTCGCAGCCCCTGACCAGGAGTGAGAGGGAGGTAGGAGAGATGGCAGCCAAGCCAGAGCCCCTCAGTGCGGCACGACAGATACACCACAGTCAGGGTAACTGCTTCCCCATTGTGACGGGGCCTTGTGTTTCACTGGGGTACGGTGGAATTGTGGGGAGAGTGTGATGGGACTAGGGAAGGATTTGCATGTGTATCTGTGTGGGCTCAATGAGGTGCGAGAATGTGTGGCAATAGGGAAGAGGGTGTCAGTGGGATCGATGCAGGGGAAAGGTGTGTAGATGATGGGGACAGGGAGTGGAGTGTGACTGGCATCAAGGGGAGGGAGGAATGGGTATGAGTGATGCTATTCTCAGATTACTGTCCCACTTTTCCCAATATAATTTCTCCTGGTTTTCTATATTGTCAGATTACTCTCTCATTTTTTTCCTGATATAAATTCTCCCAGTCTCCTGTATTGTCACATACACCCTCACTTTTCCCATTCTAAATTCTCCCGGCTTCCTATTGTTAGATTACTGTCTCTCTTTTCCCGATATGAATTCTCCCAACTTCTTGTCTGGTCAGGTTAATCTCTTGCCATTTCCGTTTTAAACTTTCCCAGTTTCCTGTATTCTCACTTTTCCCAGTATGAATTTCCCAGCTTCCTGTGCAGTCTGATTACTGTCCCATTTTTCCTGATACAAATTCCGCAGCTTTCTGTACAGTCAGATTACCCTCTCACTTTTCCCAGTATGAATTTTCCTGGTAGCTGCAGTGAAGGTGATTCAGACTAAGCACTCCTGTGCTTGCAGCCCGTGTCCTGCATTAGTGTGCTTCCCTGTGGAAATGGGGAGAGCCCTCCTGTTGAGTTTGTCTGGGTCCTAAAGACGGCTCTTGTGTTGCAGACGAACCTGAACCTGATCACCAGCAAGTCGCGGAGGCGAGTTCCCCACTCGACTCGGACACCGAGGACAAACACGAGGGGAACCGACAGCGGCCTGGCTCCCCCCTCTCCAACCACGAGCTGGCAATGTTTGACCCCTGTGCTAAGGATGGTGTGGGTGAGTTCAGGCCATTCTGGGACTAATCAGCCGAGAATCGAGAGCGCCTCTTGCGACGAGTCGGTTTTCAGCAACTCTTGAGGGGCCAGGCCTCCCCTGTCAGCTCGGATGGCCGTGAAAGGGAATAGGAACCGCAGGGTCACAGCAACAACCAAGACAGGCCTGGGTTTGACCAAACTTCACATTTCCATTTAGCCACAGGTCACCAGGATATCACTGGACTTTGAAACTGCCAGGGCATGTACGTGGCATAGGTACAGAGTAAAGCTTCTGTACGCTGTCCCCCATCAGACACACTCAGGACAGGGACAGGACGGGGTTAGATACAGAGTAAAGCTCCCTCTACACTGTCCCCCATCAGACACTCTCAGGACAGGGACAGCACAGGGTTAGATACAGAGTAAAGCTTCCTCTACACTGTGCCATTTGTGGTTCCACCATTTCCTGAGGTGATTGGTGTGCCTGTATAAGTGGGGTATATTTGAAGAGTTGCAGTTCATGAACACAATTCCAATAAAGGACCAGTGACAATATCTGCCTGGAGCTGGGAATTCTGTGATGTGTCTTTGCAGGTTCCCTTGTCTTCGAAGGTTCGGGTCAGGAGCTCCGTGGGTGATCAGACATTCTCTGCTGCATATCCCCCAGGAACTTCCCCTTTCCACAATCCTGCCCCCTGATGGCGGGGTTGGTGACTGCAGCATTGGATCCTCTGAACCTCCCCTTTCCTGGGCTGTCTGCTGAGGTTTGAGTGTTTCGGCTGGGGCCGTCGCAGGTCCTGCTAATACAGTCGGAGCGGTAAGCTCAGTCTTTGTACACGGCCGAGTAACCGTGACTGTGCCAGAACGCCCAGCCCCTGAGCTCCTCTTGTGGCCTCTCTGTTCAAGTGCCTAGTCCATTAGAACTTGTTCATAGTATGAAAACAAAATGTCGGGGTTTGCTGGAAACCTGAAATTGACACGGAAATTAAACTCCACTGGCCTGGCAGCCTCTGAGAGAGAGTGTTCACGGGATACGTCAGTGCTGGATCTTTCCTCCAAACTGGGAAATTGTCGTCGGTTTTGAATGAGGGGCATTAAAACAAAAGTGAAGGTCTGGGATAGATTGGCAGGCAAGAGAGATTGTGTCAAAGATGCATATGCCAAAGAGATTGGTAATTGGGCAAGCAAAAGAAGGAATTGTATACTTCATGGTAAGGTCCTGGGGAGAGTTGCTGAACAGAGACCTTGGAGTGCAGCTTCATAGTTCCTTGAAAGTGGAGTCACAGATAGACAGGGTGGTGAAGAAGGCATTTGGTACACTTGCTTTTATTGGTCAGTGCATTGAGTTTCGGAGTTGGAATGTCATGTTATGGCTGTACAGGACATTGGTGACGCCAGTATTGGAATACTGCGTTCAATTCTGGTCTCCCTGCTATAGGAAAAGATGTTGTGAAACTTGAAAGGGTTCAGAAAAGATTCAGAAGGATGTTGCCGAGATTGGCGGGTTTGAGCTATAAGGAGAGGCTGAACAGGTTGGGGCTATTTTCCCTGGAGCGTCGGAGGCTGAGGGGTGACCTTATAAAGGTTTATAAAAACATGAGGGACATAGATAGGGTGAATAGCCAAGGTTTTTTTTCCCCAGGGTAGGGGACTCCAAAACTGGAGGGCATAGGTTTAAGGAGAGAGAGGTAAAATATAAAAGGGACCTTTTCATGCAGAGGATGGTGCATGTGTAGAATGAGCTGCCAGAGGAAGTGGTGGATGCTGGTACAATTACAACAGTTAAAAGGCATCTGGATGGGTGTATGAATAGCAAGGGTCTAGTGAGATGTGGGCCAAATACTGGCAAATGGGACTAGATTAATTCAGGTATCTGGTCGGCATGGAATAGTTGGACCAAAGGTCAGTTTTCATGCTGTACAGATCTATGGTTCTTTGAATGGATGAGTCCAGATGAGATATGAATGGCAGGGTAGTAGCTGTCCCAGATTTAAAATAAACAAAGAAGTAAGATAAAACTCAACCAGCAGAAAAGAACAAATTTTGACAAAGTGGAGGCAAGATGCAAAATGGTTAAGTCCCCGAGTCTGTCGAATGAGGAGGTGAGCAATTTGAAACGTTGCTCACCGAGTTTGCAGAGAGCTTCATTGGAACGAGGGAGCAGGGCAGGGAGTTACAGTAGCAGGTGAGAGAGCGCTCAGGGTCATGCCTGGGAACTGAGCGGAGGTATTCAGCAAAGTGGTCGCCCAGTCGTTCCGAGGCAGAGACACAAAAACAGTGGCACAGATGAAAAGAAATACAAGTAACTCGCGGCTTCACCTGGGCGTCAGCGTGTGAAGCCTTGGACAGTGACAGCCCAGAGGGGACAGGGGCTAGTCTCCACTCGATGAATGAGTAGCGTTCTCAAATGAGCTGTTTGTGTTGCAGACTCTCTGCCTGACCTGAACCAGTGGAGCAGCCTCACAGCACTGGGCGACGAACAGCCCAAAGACCTAGAGAGGAGACTGCTGCAGCTCAGAGTGCAGCCAGAGGACCAGTTTCTTCCCCCCGCGACCCCACACTCAGACGGTCTCGACAGTGCTGAATATCTGACTGCAGCGGCCAAGTGTATCAAAGAGGCCCTGGCAAGGGAAGCCAGCCAGGAGTATGCAGCGGCGTTCAGTTGCTATCGCAATGGGGTGGACATTCTGCTGAAAGGAGTGCAAGGTGGGTGGGTGACAGGGCCCAGAGAGAAGGTGGAGGGGGCTGTCAGCGTGTCTCTCCCAGTCCTGAAACCTCCTGAGTCTCTATATCGACACTCTCCGATTTCCCCCCTAAACCTGCCCCCCCCACCCAGAGCCCAGAGTGATCGAGTGCACTGGATTTCAGGGCCAGGTGCCAGGTTTGGAGCTTATGTCCAAGTGAAAGGAGATAGTGACCCTGGTGGTATCCCATTACGTTAATAACGAGTGGGCACAACTCAAAGGCAGAGGTACTGCAGCCCTATTACAGGCCGGTCTGCCGGACCTCCACAGGAGGGACATGAACAAGATCCAAGGCAGCAGTGAAATGCAAGGGAATAAAGCAGAAACTCCGAGAAACTGGAGGGTCTCAGCAGGTCGGGCGGCATCTGTGGGGAGAAACTGAGTTAATATTTCGGGTCCAGTGACCCTTCTTCAGAACTCGGGTGAAATGGAGGGCTGTCTACTTGAAAAATAACCTTGTCCTTCTTTAGGTTTTTATTCGATGTGAGATCACTGGCTGGGCCCAGTATTTATTGCCCCGTCCCTAGTTGCCCCTTGAGAAGGTGGTGGGGAGCTGCCTTCTTGAACCACTGCAGTCCATGTGCTGTAGATTGACTCTCAATGCCCTTAGGGAAGGAGTTCCAGGATTTTGACCCAGTGACAGTGAAGCAATGTTGATATATTTCCAAATCAGAATGGTGAGTGTCTTGGGGGGTGGGGGGGGTGGTGGTCTTGCAAGGGGGTGGTGTTCCCATGTATCTGTTGCCCTCCTCTTTCTAGAGGATAGAGGTTGTGGGTTTGGGAGGTGCTGTCTAAGGTTCTTGGGTGAGTTGCTGCAGTGCATCTTGTAGATGGTACACACTGCTGCTACAGTGTGTTAGTATTGGAGGGAGTGGGATGCTTGTGGATGTGGTGCCAGTCAAGTGGGCTGCTTTGTCCTGGATGGTGTCAAGCTTCTTGTGTTTTTGGAGCTGCCCCCATCCAGGGGGCAAGTGGGGAGAATTCCCTCACACTCATGTAGATGGTGGAGTCAGGAGGCTCCCCATGGCTTTGGGGAGTCAGGAGATGAGTTACTTGCTGCAGTATTCCCAGCTCCTGAGCTGTTCCTGTAGCCACTGCATTTATATGGCTCATCCAGTTCAGTTTCAGGTCAGTGATAGTTCTTGCGATAAATGGCATGTAATAAATGACTAAAGGAATGGAAACAGGAGAGTCCGATGAGAGCTGAGTTAACGTAAGGGAGATTAAGGGGTCCTTCAGAAGTCTACATCAGGAGTACTCAATTGTTGTCATGTGAGACAGTCAAAAACAAATTATATCTGGTATACTTGCTATGTACAAAACCAGTTACAACTTTTGTAAAAGCTCCTGTTCCCTATGCTCCCACAGCCCACTATTAAAAAGAATTTATGAATGTAAATGCGCAATTGTACAAACCAGAGGACCATCAGTATCAATGGTCCATTCTGCTGGCTTCATCAGATTAGTGCTCAGTTAGTCCCTTGTTCCCATGTTCTTTCTCCCATTCCAGGGTGAATAGCCAAGGTCTTTTCCCCAGGGCAGGGAAGTCCAAAACTAGAAAGCATAAGTTTAAGGTGAGAGGGGAAAGATTTAAAAAGGACCTAAGAGGCAACTTTTTCACACAGAGGGTGGTGGGTGTATGGAATGAGCTGCCAGAGGAAGTGGTGGAGGCTGGTACAATTACAGCATTTAAAAGGCATCTGGATGGGTATATGAATAGGAAGGGCTTAGAGGGATAGGGGCCAAATGCTGGCAAATGGGACTAGATTAATTTAGGATATCTGGTTGGCATGGACGAGTTGGGTTGAAGAATCTGTTTCCGCAATTTTTTGACACTAAATATTTATCTAATTCTTTTTTGAAAGTTCTGGTTGAATCTTCTCCCTCCACCCTTTCTCTCTCTCGCTCTGTTCCCCCCAGACCCCTCTGTTCCAGCTTTCCAACTATCCTGGGAGGGGAATGTGACACAGGTCTGTGTGTATGTTGCTGTGTGAAGTCAAATTGATGGTTGAATGTGCAGTGTGTATGTTTTTGGTGGATCAGTAAATTGGCTGGGTGTGTAGGTTCACTGCCTGCACTTGTCCACTTCTGTTAGTGCCTTGGACTGTCTGCTGTAGAGCAGTGTAACCACTTGTCCAATCTCAGAAAGATTACTGTACAGGAGGAGACCACTCAGCCCTTTGTGCCTGTGCCAGCTCTCTGAATTTGCAGTGGATTAAGTCATGTTCCTGCCTCTCCTCGCTTCTCCCAGTGATCATCCACTCTTCCTGTATGGATATTAATCCCAATTTCGTCCTGAAAGTCTCGATCAGACCTGCTTCCCCCACGCTCTCAGGCAGTGCATTCCCAATCCGAGCTCCTTCTGCCCCTTCCAATGCTGTTTTAACCAATAAATCTGTGCCCCTTCATTCTCAGTCCTTCCGTCAATGGGAACAGTTTCTCCCTCTCCACTCTGCCCAGAGCCCTCGTGGTTTAGAACACCTCAATCAAATCTCCTGTCGACCTTCTTTCTCTCCTCCCAGGATACTGAATAGTTTATTAACCGCGCTCTCAGCCTGTCCTAGCACCTTCAACACCCTCAGTACATGTACCCCCAGGTCCCTCTGCCCTGACTCCCTCTCTTTAGAGTCATTATTTTATGGTGTCACTGCATCCTTCCTAACAAAATTAATCGTTTCACCGTGTTGGTCTGACTGTCGACACTTCGCAATGTGTTAAACCTTGCAGCGAAACCATTGGGCGTTAGTGTTCGAGCAGGGAATTGTGTTGCGTGGTTTGAGTGTGCCTCCTATCCATCGGCCAGGATGGTCTGAGGACAGGGATACCCCATCACGTATGAGCTAACATGGGTCTGTAGATGGTATGGGTGGGACTGGCACAATGGCCACTTGAAGTGACGCTGCCTGTTGTGCCAGGGCAAAAGCAGGGTTAGCATTCTAGGATCAAATGGGCCGAAGGGCATTATCAATCAGTACCTGTCTTAGGGTCATAGATACAGACCCATACAGCACAGAAACAGACCCTTCGGTCCAACCAGTCCATGCCAGCCGTAATCCTGAGCTAACCTAGTCCCACCTGCCTGTGCCCGGCCCATATCCCTCCGAAGGTTTCTTCATCATGAACTTATCCAAATGTCTTTTAAACATTATAACTGTACCCGCATCCCCACCACTGTCTCTGGAAATTCATTCCACACACGAACCATTTTGTAACAAAATTATCCCTCATGTCTTTTTTAAATCTTTCTTCTCACCTTAATAACATGTCCCCTAGTCTTGAAATCCCCCACCTTAGGGAAAAGACACCCGCCATTCACCTTATCTATGCCCCTCATGATTTTACAAAACCTCTATAGTCGCCCCTCAACCTCCTACGCTCTTGTGAAAAGAGTCCCACCCTATCCAGCCTCTCCTTATAACTCAAACCCTCCATTCCCAGCAACATCTTGGTAAATCTCTTCTGAACCCTCTCCAGCTTAATATTATCCTTCCTATAACCAGGTGACTACAACTGGACTCAATACTCCAGAAGAGGCCTCACCAATGTCCTGTACAACCTCGACATAACTTCCCAAATCTACTCTTTCAATGGTCTGAGCAATGAAGGCAAACATGCTAAACTCCTCCTTAACCACTCTGTCTACCTGTGACACAAACTTCAAAGAATCATGTACCCTTGTTCTCACTGTTCTACGATACTATCCAGGACCTAACCATTAATTGTATAAGTCCTGCCCTTGTTTGTTTTACCAACATGTAATACCTTGCATTTATCATCTGCCACTCCTCAGCCCATTGACCCAACTGATCAAGATTTCTTTGTAATCTTAGATAACCTTCTTCACTCTCCACAATACCACCAATCTTGGTGCCACCCGCAAACATATTGACCATGCTTTCTATATTCTCATCTAAATCATTTATATAAATGACAAGCAAGAGTGGACCCATCACCGAAACCCGACAGAACACCTCTGGTCACAGGCCTCCAGTCTGAAAAACAACCCTCCAGCACCACCCTCTGTCCGCTGCTGTTAAGCCAATTTTGTATCCAATTGGAAATCTCACCCTGAATCCCAAACTTTAACTAATTAATCTACTAATGCAGAACCTTATGAAAGGTTTTACTAAAATCCAAGTAAAGGACCTCCTCAAAAAACTCAATGAAGTTTGTGAGACATGATTTCCCTCACACAAAACCATGCTGACTACCCCTAATCTTGTGTTGCTAGGTGACCTGAATTCGGAAAGGCGAGATGCAGTGAAGAAGAAGATGGCGGAGTATTTGAAACACGCGGAAGCCATTTTCACTGAGCACCTAACGGGCTGTGTATCAGAGGATGTTGCTCCCACCTCGGTAAGCATCACTTGGAGAGGGTCAGCAGGGGACTGGAGAGTCCTGTCCCTGTCCTGGGGAGTGTTTGATGGGGGGACAGTGCAGAGGAAGATTTACTCTGTGTCTAACCCCGTGCTGTCCCTGTCCTGGGAGTGTTTGATGGGGGACAGTGTAGAGGGAGCTTTACTCTGTATCTATGCCACGTACGTGCCCTGGCAGTTTTAAAGTCCAGTAATATCCTGGTGACCTGTGGTTAAATGGAGATGTGAAGTTTGGTCAAACCCAGGCCTGTCAAAGCTTTACTCTGTATCTAACCCTGTGCTGGGAGTGTTTGATGGGGGACATTGTAGAGGGAGCTTTACTCTGTATTTAACCCCGTGCTGTCCCTGTCCTGGGGAGTGTTTGCTGGGGGCACAGTGTGGAGGGAGCTTTACTCTGTATCTAACCCCGTGCTGAGAGAGTGTTTGATGTGAGGAGAGGGTAGTTTTCTGTGATGCCTGATTCCTTGCCAATGCTCTGTTTCTCTTTCCAGTGACTCAGAAGGATGTGAGTGGAGCAGCATCATGGAGAATATCCTGTGGCCACCTGCCAATCAAATATCTGATGGCTGGGTGAAGAGAGGTTTATCCCCTGGACGTCCATTTGTGCCTGAGAAGGTCGATGAAGGCTTTTACCAAATCCCTCGCCAATCAGGTTGCTTGCTGTTGAGAGACAGGTTAAAACCCCCAGCTCGATGGAGAGGCTGGAGACATGCTGCTCCAACCCCCACCCCTGATGGTGAGATCAGGGTTCTCCACCCTCACCATCCCCACCCCTACCCCACCATCCCCACCCCTACCCCAATGTTGGGACGTGTCAGTGAACAGAGGGCCCTCGCTGTTGTGAATGAGTCTCGGGGGAAGTGTGGTTTGTATTGTGAGACGTTGGATTGTCTCCGAGATGAAATCGGCCAGTCTTCATTGCCAAAGCTAACGAAAGCATCGCCTTCCTAAATTTCTCCACATTGTTCACTGAAAAATTGCCTTCTATGGTAGTAACTGCTGTTTCGAAGTGAACACGCCTTTGCGATGCTTCCCACAGATGACCCCACTGTAAGACAGTTCATCAGCTTTTAGTGACCATAACAAAACAACAAATGTTTTCCCCTGGGCCCTGCTGCTTCCCACCTAACTCTGACCCAAAGTGCCACATTTTTTATATCCACTGAGATGGCGGTTTGCAGCATCTCACCTAGAAGTTGGCATCTCCGACGGTGCCGCGCTGACCCTCCGACAGTGCCGCGCTCCCTCGGCGCTGACCCTCCGACAGTGCGGCGCTCCCTCAGCGCTGACCGGCTGACAGTGCAGCACTGTCTGAGCACTGACCATCTCTGCTTGCCAGTTCTTTTCTCTTTCTGTCACTCACTTTCAGTTTCTGTCTGTACTTCAGTCCTGACCTCCCCTCTCTCCCTCGGTCACTGTCAGCCTCTCTCTTGGTCCTGCCTTTCTCGTTCTCCCTCTGTACCTCTGAAAGTGGTCATTGAAAATTGATGGTATGGACACAATGCATTTGGAGTCCCTGTGACCTTAATGTATTGGTCACAGAACCATTCACATTTTCAGCTGAGCCGTTTCATAAACTATACAGTCTGTTTGCCTCAGCTCCAGCTTGCTGTGAATGGTGAGCACTCCCTCTGTTCAGTGATCCTGTGTTTTCGATTTTCCCGGGAATATCTAACATTGTTCCCTCTCTTACAGTCTCCCTGATGTGGTCATCAGTCAGTCCCTCACACACCCTCTGTAGATTATCTGTCCTTCCCCACAGCCACCTCCTTGCATTTCTGTGCCTTAAATGTTCACGTTTCCCACTAGGCTAATTATTTTGTGATCCTGTACATTCTAAGCACTTGGTTTGACTCCAAGTAAAGTTACTCTGAATGCTGAGGCTTGTCGATTCTGTTCTGTATAACATTTTACACTTCTGTCTGCATCATTCTGACTCCGAGACTCACTCAATCCCACTCTGAATGGTAGGGATTGGCCAGGAGTCGTCTGCATTTATTGCCCATCCCTAATTGCCCCTTATAAAGGTGATGAGCTGCCTCCTTGAACCATCATAGTCTATTGGTGTAGGTGTGCCTACAGTGCTTTCGGGGAAGGAATTACGGGATTTTGACCCAGCTTATGGAACAGCAGTGTATTTCCAAGTCAGGATGGTGAGTGGCTCAGAGGGGAATTTGTAATGGGTGGTATTCCCATATATCTGCTGCCCTTGTCTGTCTTGGAGGTAGAGGTTGTGGATATGGAACCCACAGCCCATGAGTGAATAAAGAGTCATGACACTGACACAGTGAATCTACAGAGGGATAGAGATGGGTTAAATGAGAGGGCAGAAAGTTGGCAGGTGGAATATAATGTGGTGAAATGTGGCAGGAATATGGCACCATGGCAGGAAAAATAGAGTGGGTGAATATTACTTAAATGAGAAAGACTGCAGAATGCAATGGAACAGAAGGATTGTGATCCATGAATCACAAAAACGTTACATCCAAATTCAGAGTTAATAGCAAAGGAAATGAAATTATTTCAAAAGAAAGGGAGTATAGAAATTAGGGTGGTTTTGTTAAAACTATATGAGGTACTAGTGAGACCACAGCTGGAATACTTTTCACCCTTTATCTGATACCAGTTATGGAGGGACTCTCTTATGAGGAGAGGTTGAGCAGATAGGGTGTGCACTCATCAAGACAGAGAAGAATGAGAGCCAGTGTGATTGAAACGTACAAGATTCTTTGGGGACTTGACACAGTAGAAGCAGAAAAGTTGTTTCTGCTTGTGGGAGAGTCTCGCACCAGAATAAGGGGTTGCACATTTTAAACAGAGGTGAAGAGGAATTTCTTCTGTCAGAGGGTGAATCTGAGGAATTCTTTCTCTATAGTGGGCTGTAGAGGCTGGATCATTAAATATATCCAAGGCTGAGATGGACAGCTTATTAATCAAGAAAGGAATCAAGAGTCATGAGAAATAGGCAGGAAAGTGAAGTTGAGGATTATCAGATCAGCCATGATCTCAATGAATGGCAGAGCAGACTCAAAGGGCTGAATGGCCTGCTTCTACTCCTATGTCCTATGGTCTTATGGGTCGAGTCCAGTTTATTTTCTGGTCAATGGAACATCAGTGAACATCCCCACTTCTGACCTTATGGAGGGAATGTCACTGATGAAGCAGCTGAAGATGGTTGGGTCGAAGGCACTACCTTGAGGAACTCCTGAAGAGATTCCAGTTTTCCTAGGGCTCTGTGATGCCACACTCGGTCGAATGCGGCCTTGATGTCAAGCGCTGTCATTTTTATCTCACCTCTGGATTTCAGCTCTTTTGTCCATGTTTGAAGCCAGGCTGTAATGAGATCAGGAACTGAGTGGTCCTGGTGGAACCCAAACTGGGCGTCACTGAGCTGGTGTCGCTTGACAGCACTGTAGAGGACACATTTCATCACGTTACAGACTATTGAGAGTAGAATCATGGGGCCAGGTCGGGGTTGTCCTGCACTTTGTGTGCAGGATGTATCTGGGCAATTGTCCAAATTGCTGAGTAGATGCCAGTGTTGTAACTGTAACTGTATCGGAAGAGCTTGGCTAGGGAAGCAGCAAGTTCTAGAGCACAAGTCCTCAGTACTTTTGGCAGAATGTTTCAACCATTTCTTGATATCAAATGCAAATGAATCCATATTGCTGGGGACCTCAGGAGGCTGAGATGGGTTATCCATCTGACACTCTGGCTAAAGATGAATGCCTTGTTTCTCGCACTGTGCTGAGATCCCCATCATTGAGGATGGGGTTATTTGTGAAGCCTGCTCCAAGTGAGTTTAATTGTCCACCACCATTTATGACTATATATGGGAAGGCAACAGAGGTTAGATTTGATCTGTTGGTTGTGAGGTCACTTAGCACAACTGTAGCATAATCTCCTTCCTGTTGTATTCAAGACTGTTTGTGATAAATGAGAATATATCTTCAGTTCCTTCATCCAAGTCATTCGTATGATTGTAATTGCTGCCAAGTGCCAATCGCTGCAGCATGCTTGTTACATTGTTTGTGCCCACTTCCTGCTTCCTGTCAGCCAGCTAATCTTCTTTCCATGTAAACATATTGCCCATGAACTTATATTTTGTTCACTTTTCTACAGGGAAATAGTTACTTAATTGAAACATATAACATCCCGAGGGGTCTTGACTAGATGGATGTGGAGAGGATATATCCTCTTGTGAGGATCTACAGTGAGGGGCTACCCATTTAAGACTAGAGATGAGCATGAGTTATTTTAATGGCAGGGTTGATAAGCGGTAAAAGGTTTTCGGGAGATAGGCTGGAATGTGGAGTAATCAGATCAACCATGATCTTAATCAATGGCAGAGTAGACACAATGGAACTGAGTGGCCTCCTTCTCATAATTCATTTGAGTGTCTGCGATGATCTTTGATGTCTAGATGGAATTTAATAAGGTGCAACATCAAAGTATAGTACACCTACCATTTCCCCTTTAACCACAAGATGTCACTCCTTCAAAAAAACTCTTAATAAACCTGTTCAACATGATTTCTCTCACAAAACCATGTTGACTCTGCCCAATTACTAAAACTTTTCCAAGTGCCCTGCTACAACCTTTTACAGAACAGCTTCCAAATCTCATTATGACAGATGATAAGCTAACTGCGGTGTAGTTTCCTGCTTTCTGTCTCCCTCCCTTGCTGAGTAAAGGAGTTACTTCCGTTGTTTTCCAATCCAATGAAACCTTCCCCCAAATCTGCGAAACCTTTGGAAAATGAAAACCATCACATCAGCTATCTCACTGGCCTTTTCTTTTAAGACTTTTGAATGACATCCCTCAGGACCTGGCTATTCTGTACCGTGTTCCTCCTCTCTCCCTTCCATTTCCTGATTTACAGCTATTTCTGGGATGTTATTTGTAGTGAAGACTGATGCAAAATACCTGCTCCATTCACCTGCCACCTCCTTATTTTCCTTTACTGGTTTCCCAGACTAATTTCCAATATGACCACTTAGTTAAACCTTTTCTTTGTCCAGTACCTATAGAAACTCTTACTGTCTATTCTTAATATTTCTAGCTAGCTTTCTCTCATACTCATTGTTTTCCTTCTTATGAATCTTTCAAATAATCTTTGCATTTTTAAAAATATTCCGTCCAATCCTGTGACCTGCTGCCCATCTTTGTGTAGTTACATGCTTTTTCTTTAAGTTTGCTACCAGTTCTAACTTGTTTACTTCATTTCGGGTGTGCCTGATATTGCTTCTGGCATGCTCTCCTGTACCTTACTGAACCCACTGTATCAGGTGAGTTCTCTGAAACAGCAAGCAAACCACTCAGTTGTATTAAAATGCTACAGAAAAGTCAAATGAAAAGAAACTGGACAAACCACCCAGCATCATCCTAGGTTGTGGTGGGGTCATTATGAGGGAGAGGTCAATGCAGGGCAATAAGTTAGTGTGGAGTGATAGGTTAGCACAGTGCACCACATTTTTGAGGGGGAGAGAATGTGTTAAGATGAAACTACAAACACCAGAAAACCATATAACTCATCATCTTTTTATTGTGGTTTCTTGGTTTGAATGAGAGATTGCCTGGAGATCTGTTGGCTCCTCTCAGTGATACCCTGATCTTCCCGCTAGATCACAGCCTCCAGGGTCGAAGCTGCACTCTCCAGTGTGTAGGTAACTATCGTCAGGTGCTTCCGAACACCATCCCAGGCATTTCCCTTGGCCATGGCCTGCTGGTAAGCATCGGCTAGTCCTGGAAATGTTTCCACATCTGAATTCTTTGATGCATAGATAACGTGTCTGCAGAAGAAATAAGTGAAACTTACTGTTGTAGGAACAGGCAGAATGATCACTGGACAGAGTGTAACACGGTGTAGAGAGGATGTAATGGGACAGAAAGAGTGAAGGACTGAGAGACAGAGACAGACCACAGAAAGGTTGGACTGAGCAAGTGTCGAGGATACTCGGGGACAGCAAGACTGAGGAGCAGACACAGAAAAAGAGAGACAGGGAAAGGGGGAGATAGTGCGAGGAAGATTCAGTTTGAGTTTGAGAAACATAGATTGGAACCTATTGTGCTAAACTTTAAATTGGGGTAATTACAAAGGAATGAGGACAGAGTTAGCTGGAGGGGATTGGGAAAGAAGTTGAGCAAAAAAGACAAATTTGATTTATTATTGTCACGTACCTAAGTACAGTGAAAAGTTTTGTTTTGTGTGGGTACAGGCAGATTATAACATACAAAAATCAAAGGGTGATTGAGTAGAACGGGGAATACAAAGTTATGGAATTGAGGTTTAAAAGTGCAGAACGATTGTAAGAAATGTGAGAATAGATCCACTGTAGAAAGCTCGCAAAGAGACATTTAAGGAAATAGTTCATGGCTCACAAGAAAATTGTATCCCAGTGAGGAAGAACGATTCTAGGAAGGGGATAAATGGCAATGGTTGACCAAAGAATTAAGGACAATATCAAATGGAAAGATTAAGAATTACAATGTGGCATAAACTAGTGATAGCTAGTGGATTGGGAAAGTTTTAAAAACCAATAAAAAATGTCCAAAAAGAAATTTAAAAGGGATAAAATATGTTTGATAGTAAACTAGCAAAAAGAAGATCAAAACGACAGTAAGAGCTTCTTTAAATATATGAAAAGGGAATGAGAAGCCAAAGTGAACTTAGTCGCTCGGAGAATGAAACTAGGGAAATAATGGGGAACCAGGAAATGGCAGAAGAGTTGAATAAACATTTTGTATCAGTCTTCATAGTAGGAGATAATATTAACAATCCAAGGAGTAAGAGGTAGAGGAAATTACAACAATAATTATCACTAAATAAGTAGTAGGGAAAATAACGGGGCTGAAGACCGATAGGTCCCCTGGAACTGATG